CTGGAGTCCCTGGATCGAGTCCCGCATTGGGCTCCCTGCTTGGCAGGGAGTCTGCTTCTCCCTCTGACCCTCCCCCCTCTCATGCTCTCTCTATCTCATTCTCTCTCTCAAATAAATAAATAAAATCTTTAAAAAAAAAATCTTAAAAAAAAAAGTTATATAAGAAAGGGAAACATTGTGAACAAAATGTATATGACCGTACCAGTCAATACACCAAGTGTTGATTTAACTAAAAATTATGAAATATCACTATTGGGAGGTTTGGTGAGAGGAAGGGATAACAGTCAATATATAAAATTTTTACTGGAAATATCAAATAATACAAAAAGCACTTGGAAATAAGGCAGTAAATCTCATGAAAAACAGCTGAGTGAGTTAAAAGTGGTTGTCTCTGGAGAAGACTGCGGGTGTTGAGAGGAAAGGCAAGGGTCTGTTGTTTTTCATTATAAACTTTTTAGCCCTATTTAATTTTTTAGCTATATGTATACATTACTTTGACTATATTTTTAGAGAATTGAAAACTGGATAGCTTTCTACCATGTGATTCATTGTTATGTAATTCCATGTCAATACCTAATACTATCTTTTTTTTAAGATTCTATTTATTTGAGAGCGCATGTGCACGAGTGGGGGAGGGACAGAGGGACAAGCAGACTCCCCACTGAGTGCAGAGCCTGACTTGGGGCTCGATTCCAGGACCCTGAGATTATGACCTGTGCTGAAGTCAGATGCTTAACCCACTGAGCCACCCAGGCAGCCCAATATCTAATACTATCTTAAATCACCTCAGCTTCCACTAAGGAGTTGGAGGCTTCACACACTATATAGAGCATTTATGAATGGCTAGAGTTTTATAAAGAAGTGAAAAGGATGACGGGGCACCTGGGTGGCTCAGTTGGTTAAGCGACTGCCTTCAGCTCAGGTCATGATCCCGGAGTCCTGGGATCGAATCCCACATCGGGCTCCTGGCTCGGCGGGGAGCCTGCTTCTCCCTCTGACCCTATCCCCTCTCATGCTGTTTCTCTCTCTCTCTCTCTCTCTCAAATAAATAAATAAATAAAATCTTAAAAAAAAAAAAAAAGGAAGTGAAAAGGATGACCAAAAGTGTGGTATGCCGGGAATATGACAGTCTTTTGTGGGTGTGGCTATCGTGGGAATCCTTTGAGACCTCAAGCTGGCCCCCATACCACACTACTGACCCCATTTCAAGTGGTTTCCAGCCCCCAGCATTCCTCACAGCCTGAGCATCTCCCTCCTGACCTTCACAGTCGTCAAGACTTTGGGCCTGTTTTCTTATTGAATCTCCTCTTTTCCTCTACATTTGAGCCTGTCTTCTTTTTTTCAACTCTGAGCTTTGTTTTTCTCCCTGATGATGATTTCTTCTTATTTGTTATTAAATTCTGCATAGTTAGAGATGATATTTGGTTACATGGAATAGGGCCAGCTGTAGTGGCTTAATCAGGTAGAGGAAGACTGAGCAGGTACAGACACGTCCCATCATTCCCTTCTCTTTCTCCACCATCAGCCTTAACCGGTGATTTTATCCTCATAGCTGTAAGGTGGCTGCTTCACTGAGAGCCTCCCATCTCCATTCCAGACCAGAAGAAGAAGGAAGGGACAAGGAGAATGTACTCGTACCTGTATGAGGAAATCTCAGAAATCCCCAGCATACTTATGCTTATTTCTAGTTGGTCAGAAGCATGTCACATGCCCATCCCTAATTTTTAGCTGGGCACATTTCTGCCCTAAGAAAAATTTGAGCTCTGTTAGAAAATAAGGTCAGAAAAGATATCAGTCAGGGAACTAGAAGTATTTGCCTCAAGCTCCTTTAGATTATGATTGATAGGTCAACTGGTCTACACTAGACCTGGTCAAAGGCCTTTGAAGCCAGTGACACCCCCGTCCCCAAATGGCCCAAGTGAGACACCAGGGTCTTTATTAGACATTCCACATGGCCCCTCAAGTCACCTAGCAGAACTACATCTGTATAACCTTTTGCTCTATAAGGAAACATGGAAGACACTGGGCCAAAATTAGGCCCAAGAAACATGAGTGCCTCTCAATCTAGGCACACCCCTGGGAGATTATTGCCTTAGATTTTATTATGGCCCAGCCCCACCCTGAAGTATCAGAGCAACATTCCCCCCACAACCACACCTTTTTTTGTGATGACCCACAGGATGGAATGACCCATAGGATAGAATGACCACACCAAGTATCAATAAGCACTGCTCACCGGAGGAAAACATCCAAATAGGATGCTGACTTTGCTTATCTTCCAGGCGCATATGTACCACCCAAGCCCTCACTGACAGTTTCTGGCCCTTTCTACATCCTGAAATTATAAACTGTATTGTCTTATACCTCCAGGTCCCTTACCCATATTCATCCACCGTATCCTCCACTACCCTTTACTGTGCCCAGCCTGATTTGTTCCCACACCCTTACAACCATTTTCATGTTGCAACCTCAATTGACCATCTGGAGGGTCATGCAGTCCCTTTTTTTTTTTTTTTTTTTTTTAAAGATTTCACTCCTTCATTTGACAGAGAGAGAGACAGGGAGAGCAGGAGCACAAGCAGGGGGAATGGGAGAGGGAGAAGCAGGCTCCTCCTGGCTGAGCAGGGAGCCCGATGTGGGGCTTGATCCCAGGACCCCGGGATCATGACCTGAGCCGAAGGCAGACGCTTAATGACTGAGCCACCCCATGCCCCCATGCAGTACTATTTTTAAGTACTTATTATAGTACATGCAGTCCTATTTTTAAGGTTCTTATTTTTCTTCTCCACCATATTTCCTACTTACCTTTTTGCTTCTGGCCTCTTCCTGGTGTATCCTGACCTCCAGAAACTACAGCTTGAGGCCCCTGTGGACCTGCAAGCAGGACCCAGACATCTGGCTAGATGAGAAACAGGAAGGGGGAGAAGGGCAGGTGCCATGGGAAATAACAGAAGGATGGGTTGACACAGGCTCTCCGAATGGCATGCTAGGTATTTGAGTCTTATTATCTGACCCCAATTTTGATGTGTGGGGGTAGGTTTTTCCACACACCACCAAGCAATTCCCAAATACTAGCTGGGTGGCCCACAGTTCAACTCCATTCTGATCCTACCTATCTGGAGCTTAGCATCAGATTCCACAGGTTAAGGGCTCAGTCCCACAAGACTGTCCCCTCCCCCCCACAACCACTTCAGACATCAACAGCAAGTCCAGATTGTTACCTGGGCTTCTGACTGACTGGTTATAAAGCTGAGGTTCTCATGACCCACTCCTTGGGTTTGATTAATTGGCTAGAACAGCTAATATGACTCAGGAAACCAGTTTATTCACTAGATTGCTGCGTTATTACAAAGGTTATTAAAGGATACAAATCAATAGCCAGATGAAGAGATACAGAGGGTGAGGTCTCGAACAAAGCAGCTCTGTCCTCATGGACATTGGAGCCCAGCATGATGGCACGTGGAAGCATTCTGGTTTCCCAACCTGGAAGCTCTTTGAATCCCGTCCTTTGGATTTTTATGGAGGCTTTATTACACGGGCATGATTGATTAAATCATTGGCCATTGGTGATTGATTCAACCTCCAGCCCCTTTCCCCTCCCTGGAGAATCAGGGGGTAGGACTGAAAGTTCTAACCATTCATTTATGGTTGGTTCCCCTGGCAACCAGCTTTCCAAGTCTCCTCATTAACATAAATTCAGGTGTAATGGAAAGGGACTTGTTTTGAATTACAAGGCACCCATTTCACCTTTACGGCTCTAAGGCATTTTCAGGAACTGAGAACCAGGGACCAGATATTACATTTTTCAAGTTTTCTTTTTTAAAAATCCAGTGTAGTTGACACGGAGTGTTATATTAGCTTCAAGTGTACAATATAGTTTCTATACATTACTCGGTGCTCATCATGGTACGTATACTCTTTAATCCCCATCACCTATTTTACCCATCACCCCACACACCTAAGAGACCAAAAGCTGCTCCCATTTCTCTTATTGCTCAGGAAATTCCAACGGTTTGGGAGCCAGGAACCATGGACAAAGACCAAATATATATGAGAAATCTGAATACTCTAAATACATATTTCTTATAAATCACAATATTGCTGGTCTTTATAGGATAATCAGTGAAAAATCTTGGTTTCAGGTGATACAGGACCAACTCAAACTGATCTAAGTACACATACACAAAATTGTTGACCTATAAAACTAAAAGTCCAAGGGTGGTTCTAACTACAGGTCCAGCTGGATTTAGGGGTTCAGGTGGCATTCCCTACCTTCATCTCCTGGAAGTTCTGCTTGTGTTGACTTTATTCTCAGACAGGTTCTTCCCACACAGTGGCATTTTGGGCAGCACTGGCCATAAGTTTACATTGTACCCGTTTAATCTCAAGATTAAGAGCCTTTCTCCTGTTTTCACTGGACCATCATGAGTCACCTGTTAACCAATCACTGTGCCAGGGAGAATAAATCCACTAATTGGCCAGATCTGGGTTGTGTGCCCATCCACCCCTGGAGGACAGGGGAGTGGAACCCCAAAGTAAACTCAAGCTTCTGTTTCAGAAAGAAGCTAAAATGCAAGCTGGACAAGCAAAACCAAGAGAGGTCCACTAAAGATGAAGAGCTAATAAAGTATTAGAGGTGATGAATGACAAGATCAGAATTTCACTTTCAGATGATTAATTTGGAAGTAGATTCCAGGATGGATATGGGGGTGGGGAAGTCTGAAGCTAGGAAGACCAGTTGGAAGACTACTACAGTTATCCAGGTAAACATATGACAGTAGGAATTGAAAAGAAAGGACTAGAGTGAGAAGTTTTTATAGAAATAAATTGTTACAGATCACTCACATCAAGAAGATATAGGGAAAAGGTATTAGGTGAGAGAAAAGTTGCCCAGTTAATAACAATGTGGGAAAATGCCCCTCTCAGAAGCCAAGACCCAGTCCATCAAATGGAGTTGTGAGATATCCTGCCCATTTACTATTATGTTCTTCCCCTTTCAGGTAAACTACCAGTCTTAAAAATTATGGTCACTCCTCAAGTCTCTTCAGAAACCTTCAGATCTATTTGGAAAAATAGCAGGAAATCTAGTATTACCCGTAGAAAGAAGAAAAAGGTATGTTCTTAGATGTCTGGGTCTGCTGAGTTGCAGCCACCAGGAGAGTGTGTGTGCAGAGCCTGGGCACTAAACTGGGGTAGATGCCACCCTCAGCAGATTTTGCACTTGATAAAATCACGAGAATTTGGGGGCGCCTGGGTGGCTCAGTCGGTTAAGCGACTGCCTTCGGCTCAGGTCGTGATCCTGGAGTCCCAGGATCGAGTCCCGCATCGGGCTCCCTGCTCGGCAGGGAGTCTGCTTCTCCCTCTGACCCTCCCCCCTCTCATGTGCTCTCTCTCATTCTCTCTCAAATAAATAAATAAAATCTTTAAAAAAAAAAATCACGAGAATTTTGGTTCTAGGTAATAGTAGCCCAAACCATCAGTCCATTCTGATGGATGATTGTATCAAAGGACAAGTAGTAGGAAACAACATAGTTCCCTCAAATGTTGGTGCAAACCTTGCATCCTGTCTTCAACTTTCCCACTTCCCCCCCACAAATCCTGGTTCCTGTTAGCTTATTGTGGTTTTGAAATGGTGAATTTACCTAAACTATTTATGAAACATGTGGGATCTTTTAGGTGGTAATGCTTTACGTATGTTTACTCCCTATTGTATGAAGTTGAACTTCCTTTTTTCTTTTTATAATTTATTATTTTTTCTTCATTATTTCGTAGGCTAAAAACTGAAGATGGATGCCATATATCTTTATGGATGCTATTTCCATGGCCAACCAGACATGTGTAGAAAGATATTGCTTTTTCTATAATAATTGTTTTCACTGGAACCAAGCCCATCTCAAGTTCTAAAATTTGATGACTAATTTATGAAAGTTCAAAGTAGTGTTAATCCTGCTATGCTTGTCATTTTCTTTTTTTTTTTTTAAAGATTTTATTTATTTATTTGAGACAGAGAGAATGAGAGACAGAGAACATGAGAGGGAGGAGGGTCAGAGGGAGAAGCAGACTCCCCGCCGAGCAGGGAGCCCGATGCGGGACTCGATCCCGGGACTCCAGGATCATGACCTGAGCCGAAGGCAGTCGCTTAACCAACTGAGCCACCCAGGCGCCCCATGCTTGTCTTTTTCTAAAATGTGGGATTCACAAGTTGACCTTTGTAAAAATAGGTAGGATTCTCCTCTGGTGCTTCTTATGTGCTTGTGAAATTTATAATTTGAAGGAAGTCATGATCTTTATCTAAGAAAGAAAGAATCTTCTTTCATGAGTATATCTATAGTTGGGAATAATAGGAATATTTGGAAATAACCACTTTCTGAAAGACGATATCCCCCAAAATGGGGATACTCCCCAAATGAGGAAACTTCTAATCAATCACTTTAACCACCGCTCCCCCCACCAAATGAAGATATCTGCTCCATAGGAAAGAGAAGATGTGTGGTTGACCAATGTATGGATGATAAATTGAATTAGTTGAAAGTTATATGCCATGACGATATGGTGCAGGGATGAAAAGCGTGGACTGGGGAATGAAATGGACTGGAATTCTCTGTGGAAAACTGCTGCAGTCCAGGTGTGTGACATTGGCCAAGTCGGTTAACCTCACTGAGCCTCAGTTCTCCCTGATAAGATACGGATAAGAATAGCACCTGTCTCATTTGGTGAGCACTGAATGAGATGACACATGTCAAGTATTTTTGGACAATACTTGTTTCATAATGCATGCTCAAATATAAATATTAGTGGCAGTTATTATTGTTGATGTTAGAAGTAAATGATTCCAGTTATTTCACTTGGAAAAGCTACACACGAAAAATAAAAAAGAAGAAAAAAATACGTAAGACCTTTCCATTTTGAAGTAAAAAACAAAACAAAACAAAACAAAAAACCAAACAAAAAGCCAGTCTGTTGGGGTGCCTGGCTGGCTCAGTTGGTAGAGAATGTGACTCTTGATCTCAGAGTTGTGAGTTCAAGCCCCACTTCGGGTGTGGAGCCTACTCAAAATAAAAAATAAAGAAATGAATGTATATTTTTCTAAAAGGCAAGGCTGTCGTTCATACCACGTACAAATCAAGTTCTGGCAAGTCTGTGGAACCAAACTATCTGTGAAGGTGAGGATGTTTATAGTAAATTATGTTCACCCTTCAATATCTTAGCATCTAGCTAGGAAGACAAGATCCTCACATGTTAAAAGTAAACAATAACAGAGTGTGAGAGTTGAAATAATATAACGGATCTTCAGAACTTATATATCGAATCTGTGAGACCTCCTGATAAATTGTACCTGCTTTAAAAAAAAAAAAGACCTTTTTGAAATTTGCCACCGACATCCACTCAGTGGGAGTGTAAAACTGTGTGCCTCCTTAGAAGTCTTTTGACATTGTCTATCAAAATGAAAAATACGTAACTTTTGACCTAGGTATCTGAGAAATTTATTTTACAAATATTCTCTCACACATGTGTAAGGCAATATTTATAATGATGGTATTTGTTTTGTTTTGTTTTAAAGATTCTATTTATTTATTTGACCGAGAGAGACACAGTGAGAGAGAGAACACAAGCAGGGGGAGTGGGAGAGGGAGAAGCAGGCTTCCCGCTGAGCAGGGAGCCCGAAGCGGGGCTCAGTCCCAGGACCCTGGGATCATGACCTGAGCTGAAGGCAGACACTTAACGACTGAGCCACCCAGGTGCCCCTTAAAAATTTTTAATGAGTTGTGTCTGTTTGTACATATGTAGGAATTTCTGGAAAGTCTATTAACAGTACTTGCTTTTTTTCATTTTATACTCATTTTACTATTTTAACATTTTTATCATTTATGAGCTGTCAATTTTAAAAACTTGAAATTGCTCAATAAACATCAGTAACAGCACTTTTTTTTTAAAGATTTATTTATTTATTTATTTGAGACAGAGAGAATGAGAGAGAGAGAGCACATGAGAGGGGGGAGGGTCAGGAGGGTCAGAGGGAGAAGCAGACTCCCTGCCGAGCAGGGAGCCTGATGCGGGACTCGATCCAGGGACTCCAGGATCATGACCTGAGCTGAAGGCAGTCACTTAACCAACTGAGCCACCCAGGCGCCCAGTAACAGCACTTTTTGCTTGCTATGTGACCCAGTGCCAAAAAAGTGGAAGAGATACAATAAGTACTGTGATTTCCTGGGAGTACATGAGTATATGTTGGCAAAGAGCGAAGATGAGTAAGTTTTCTAAGTGCAGAGAGCAGTCCAGCTGGAGCAGGTAGGGGAAGTTCTGTCCAGTTTCAGAGATGTTAAAATGTGAAAAAAAAAAAAAAAAAAGCATCCTCTAGACTTTCATCCTTTCATCTGACTTTCTCTCCTTTTCTCTTTCAAACTGGCCAGTTCCCAACAACTTGAGTGCATTTTATGCTCATCTGGTTCCTGCCTCCCTCCTTTGTTAGATATCTCGCATTTAGAACTCTCTAGTCAGATGTGTGGTCGTTTAATATGAATATGTTCATCTGGGCTTGTTTATACGCATTTTTATCTGGCTCATAAAGTTAGTGTGGTGAGATTAACATCCGCCACCTCTCCTGCTCTGCTCTGGCTGACAGCTTGGAGAGGTGTGCTCTCTTCACTCATATCCTGGCCTTGAGGGCCTCCCATCTCTCCCCAGTTCAGACTTGAGCTCTTCCATGAGGCTTTTCCTCATAGCATCAGTCCTCAGGGATATCTCTGTCCCTTGCAGCACTTAATATTCCACTCGACAAGCAGCACACATAGCATCTAGCCAAATGTGACCCTGTGTCCATATTTCTATTTTTACATACTTATGCATCCTTGTGTCCTCTGCCCGACTCCTTGAGTTTGGTTAGCCTCCATCCAGACACAGGGCCTGGCATGAGGAGGCCAGAGGAGGCTGAGAGCCCCACTGAGGGAAGGGAGGCTTGGAATCCCACACGTGACACTACCGGTGTCCACCACTAGGTGGTGGTGGTAATCAGTCATCTCCTTAGGCATTCCGGACCTCAAATTTCTTATCTTTTAAAAGGAAGATGTTGTCTGCTTTGCTTGAGAAAACAAAAGAACATGACCCCAGGCTAGCAATAGAAGAACCCAGGTTTCATAATTGTCACCTTCACATAACAGCGCTGTTACTCGTACATATAAAAGGAGGTTGAACCACATCAGAGGTTCTCAGAGCATGAGACCCAGAGGTCTTGGCATCCTTTCAGGGGACCAACAGGTCAAAACTATTTGCATGCCAATATTCAGAGCTATTTCCCTCTTTTCACTCTTAGGAGTGCACCATGGAGTTTTCCAGAAGCGACGTTATATGTGGCACCATCGCTCTAATAACTTGTAATGAGTTTATTACTGTTACTTTTAAATGAATATTTAAATCTTCCCCTCAGTTTAAATTTCTTAAAAAACAAACATATACATCTTCCATAAAGGCTCTTTAAGGTCCTATAGTTTTTAAACCTAACGGGGTGCTGAGCCCAAAAAGTTTGAGAACCACTGAGCCAGGTTTCTCAGAAGACCTTCTGAGGCCAGACGTTTCCTAGATACGGAAGACATGGTCCCTGCTCTGATGGTTTACATGGGGGAGGGCCGGGGAACAGTTATATATGTTTTTTTATTTTTAAAGGTTTTGTTTATTTGACAGAGACACAGTGAAGAAAGGGAACACAAGCAGGGGGAGTGGGAGAGGGAGAGGAGAAGCAGGCTTCCCACCGAGCAGGGAGCCCAAGGGGGGCTCGATCCCAGGACCCCGGAATCATGACCTGAGCTGAAGGCAGAAACGACTGAGCCACCCAGGCGCCCCCGGGGAACAGTTAATTTGTGAGCGTGGAAAGTCCCTGAAGGCGCACGGTAGGACACCTGGTGCCTGCAGAGAGTGCTCCAGAGCCCGGGAGAGGAGGAACACTAAGCACCGAAGCCTCCAGGCTTCACACCGGAATCGCTCTAAAGGCTCTCAGCCCTCTGAGCTGCCCCTGCGAGCGGGGCAGGCGTGGACAAGCGGCCGGGCGCTAGCGTAAGATGACGTCACTGGGCCGCGCCAGCCAATCGGGGCGGCCCCTGTCGGAGGCACCGCAGTTGCCCGTGGCCTGCAGGCGGCGCTGTGGCCCGCCGGGCGACCCCACAGAGCCGCCATAGCCACCCGCCTCCCCCGACTCCGCGTCGCCGCCATGGCCGACGTGGAAGACGGCGAGGAGCCCTGCGCCTTGTCCTCTCACTCCGGGAGCGCAGGCTCCAAGTCGGGAGGCGACAAAATGTTCTCTCTCAAAAAGTGGAATGCGGTGGCTATGTGGAGCTGGGACGTGGAGTGCGATACGTGCGCCATCTGCAGGGTCCAGGTGATGGGTAAGCGCTGCGCGCGAGGCCCGGGCCGCGCTGCGGCCTCCGCGGGGCCGACTCTGGGCGTGGGGGACGGCGGAAGAAGGCTCGGGGAGGCTCGGGTGAGAGGAGCGGGGGCAGGGGTGCCGGGAGCTGCTGCGCCGCCGCCTGGGGCTCAGCAGGCGCCCGCGCTGGGAGCTGCCCTTGTAGGGAGAGAAACGGGCCGTGAGCAGAGGAATTAAGGTAATTTCGGGTAGTGATGGGTGTGGCCAAGGAAATAAAACTGGGTCGTTTGATGGCAGTTGGGAGAAACCACTTCGGTTTGTGTGGCCAGGTCCGTCTCTAAAAGCAAACAGCAAAGGGGTCAGAGTAAAGGCCCTGAACACGTAGGGCACTTTAATGATTGTGGTCATACACCAAAGTGATGCTTTGGAGTCATCTTCCACAAAAACGACACCCTCAGTTCGCTCCTGAGAGGCGAAGGGAAGAAAAGTGTTCTAGCCGTTGCATTTTTGGGGTAGCTGCTGCTGTTCCACGGGCTTTTAAATCTGCATGTCTTGGGCTCCCTGCTCGGCGTGGAGCCTGCTTCTCCCTCTGACCCTCCTCCCTCTCATGCTCTCTGTCTCTCATTCTCTCTTTCGCAAATAAATAAAATCTTAAAAAAAAAAAAAAAAAAGAAAGGGCGCCTGGGTGGCTCAGTTGGTTAAGCAACTGCCTTCGGCTCAGGTCATGATCCTGGAGTCCCGGGATCGAGTCCCGCAGGGACTCGGCGGGGAGTCTGCTTCTCCCTCTGACCCTCCTCCCTCTCGTGCTGTCTCTCATTCTCTCTCTCTCAAATTAAAAAAAAAAAAATCTGCATGTCAGGATGGGGCAGATGGCACTCCCTTGTCTTGAAGGGGATACAGTGTGGTTCAAGAATATTTAAGGTTCGCCGGAAATGAAGAATGTGAGCCCTTTATTCAGAAACGTAAAAAACTTCATCTCCTTCTGGCCCCTCCCTGTCATAGGATGCCATTTCCTGAAGAAGATCCTGCCCTGCTCTGTGTCGGGCCTTTGTGGAGAACCCACTTGTACAAATAAAGTCTTAACTTCTTTCTGTGATACTTCGAATAAAAATACTGGACCAGGCGAAACCTTTCAGAGCAGCTTCATCCTGTTATGTTTTATATTTTATATGCTCTTTGTTTTAAGGTCTCAGTCCACTTTGAAAAAGAGATGCTATCTAAATGCAAGTTATATTTTTAAATAGAGCATTTAAAATACTGAGAGAGGATCTTAATGTTTCTTGGGGGTAGGTGGAAAAAACTGAGGTTCTATAATTTGAAAACTTTGTGTCTTGCTTTGAAAAATGAGAGAATTGGAGAAAATAAACAGAATTGTTCTCTCAAGGGATGGAATTTAAACCTACCAGAATCAAGGGATTCTCAATTTACACTCTCTTTAGTACACTCTTGTTTTTGATTCATAAGGACTTGTTTCATAGAGGATTTACAAAAATGGGATTCAAATATTTTTTATTTTTTACTTTTGGAAGAACTTGATTTCAGACATGATCCACTTATTTTGCATATTAGGTCTTAAAAGTACCTCGTTTATTGGCCTGCAGTAAAGCCCCCTTGCCCCACCCCTTACTTAAACTACAATCATAATTTTCCGGTTTGTGTGGCATTGTTAACTTATCCAGGCAACTTAATCTTTTCTTCTTTTGCAAGACAAGCTTTGCTAAATATTTTATCCTCTAAATTTTCTTTAGTTTAAAAAGAAGAGTGTTCCAGAAAGTGTGTTTTATATTCCTCCCCAAAGAAAAGTTTTAGACTTGTACGTAGAAATACAGAATTCAAAGTAATGGTTGAAATCTTGCAACAAATAAACTCTACTGGGATATTTAGAGTAAGTCAAAGTATGGGCTATAAATGGTTCACATTCATATTAACCTTCTAATTATAGCAAGTATTCTGCTACTGTGGATTAATTTTGCAGATTTACAACAGCTGTCCTTTGAGTTCAGAAAAGTATTCTGGACTAGACCTCTGTATTTTGTTTATGAGGTGTTAAAATCCATTTGGTGGTCAGGTGACAGCAGAAGGAAGTTTGTTTTTCAGACTTCCCAAGCCTTACCTTAGTAGCATCATTCTAAAAGGTGTTACTGTTACTGTACTCCTTAGAAACGTTCTGTTTTAGATCTTAGGAATATCATGAAAGGAATTATTTTTCTTTTATCTAAAACTTTAGGAATTCTTCGATTTAGGTTGGGTTTTGATAATGAGTCTAAATCAAAGCTCAATCAAAATTGTAATCCAGAGATTTCTAGATTGTGCAAAAGAGCCCAGTGAATTCCATTTCCTTAATATTTTGAATTCATTTCATACACCTAAATGATTTATTATGACTTCTTGATCCAAGATTTGCCTGTCAGCCTGTTCTGATGTGGTTAACACTCTTTGGTTTCCGCTCCTCTCCCTTCACTCTGAAAGGGGCAGATGGCACAGAGAGCAAGTGTTGAAGAGGAAAATAGGTTTGCTAGTTCTGTTAAGTTCTAAAGAGCCAGAGTAACCCTTCGTGGCTATTTATGTTAACTTGGACATTTGGCATACCTTTTTTTTTTTTTTTTTAAAGATTTTATTTATTTATTTGAGAGAGAGAATGAGAGAGAACACATGAGAGGGGATAGGGTCAGAGGGCAAAGCAGACTCCCTGCCGAGCAGGGAGCCCGATGCGGGACTCGATCCCGGGACTCCAGGATCATGACCTGAGCCAAAGGCAGTCGCTTAACCAACTGAGCCACCCAGGCGCCCTGACATACCTTTTGGAGTCTTGTTTTCCTAATTTGTGAAAGTGGTAGTTGGGATCACAGATTATAATTCTGTGATTATACAGAACCAGAGCCATGTCTTCACCCTTATATCATGATCCTTATGATATTTTGTTTGCCTGCCTACCTCCCCATTTCCTGGTGAGACCAGGGACCCAGACTCGGTCATTTTGGTGTCCCAGTGCATAACTCCTTATACAGAGTAGATACTCAGTAATTGTGGGATTGAAGAAAGCCTTAGGAGGCACTGGTTGTTTTTAATCCACACCAAAGAGGCCAGGGTGGTGTGTTTTTTCAGGGTAAGAGCGTGCAGAGAGGAGCAAACAAACGCCTGAGCATAATCCAGTGTAAGAAGAGGAGCAGGCTTCAACTTCACTGTGTATCTATTTTTACAGAATTCTTTTTCTCCAATTTATGTTAAAAACTATTTTTTTTCCTGTTGGTTTGAACTTCCTTTTACCCATCTCGGACTCCTCTTCCAGCTAATGAGTGAATCCATTTTATTGGTCCCTAAAATATTCTATATTACCTCCTTCATCAAGCAAATAGTAGTACAGAGTGAATTTTGAAAACTGCTAGTATACCCTTTAGGTTCCCGTTCCTAGAATTTACTCCCAAATAAATTATTAAAATACTTTGCCATTGTTGGATGAATGCTTTGGGCTCAGACATATTTATAAATGTAGGGAGCATTTCTTTCTTTTTTTTTTTAAGATTTATTTATTTGAGAGAGAGCAAGAGAGCACAAGTGATGGAGAAGGAGAAGGAGGCTGCCCATCCAGCAGGGAACCTGATGGAGGGCTCGATCCCAGGACCCTGGGATCATGACCTGAGCTGAAGGCAGACAGCCAACTGAGCCACCCAGGCGCCCCAAGGGAGCATTTTCTTTAAAAAGAAAAAAAAAAAAGAGAGAGAGAACCTAGTACTTAAGAGGTTCTTTAAAAATTAATTTTAGTTAAATTTTTATAGAGATCATACAGTCACATAATTGAGAATTTTTGGAAAATGTATAATGAAAATTTCCCATCCCATCCCCTCTTTGGTAAATTTTATTACTTGGGTATTCTTCTAGAGTTTCTTTATGTGTGTATAAGCAAATACCAATATATATGCATGACTTACTTATCATGGTATCTTGAAAATAAACTGCCCCTAAGGTTAATCTATGTGATCATGCCCAGTGAGTCTATATCAACTCCCAGTATATAATGGAGTATGGCATATTTTTCTCTAGGGGTTGCATGCACCTTGGGGACATCTTTTCATCAGAGCTTGTGAAAATAGAGGGTCGGTAACCCTTGTGAAATGGCTCCTGGTCATAAGTAAATGAGTAGAATGCCTTGTACTTTATTCATCTTTAAACAGTTATGTTCAGATGAGAAATTAATAATATGAGTCTGTTATCTCCATCTCTAACCCTTTGGGCTTTTATTTGACTTTGAAGTGTCTGGGTTTTAAAAATTGCATTCTGAGCATCAGAATGAGAATTGCTATTTGTTTACTTTTAGATGCCTGTCTCAGATGTCAAGCTGAAAACAAACAAGAGGATTGTGTTGGTATGTTGTAATTTCATTCTCTTGGTTTTTCAACTGCAGGTTTTCCTCTCAGTGGGGATGTTTGAATTTGCAATTAAGATTGACTTTATCAATACACAAAAACAAACTGTAAAGCAGTGATCCATTATTAATATAAAATGTGTTGGTTCTCTAAAGGCCTTAATGGAATTAATCTGCAAGTCCTTTTATTGCCTGTAATTAAGAATTGATTATATATTCTAGACATGGGCATAGTAAATATTTGATATTCAAAAAAGGAATCACTCTTTTCTATTAAGAAAATTATGAAGTAAGGAATTTGCCAAAACATCATTTAAAGTTAACTGTATTGTAGGTCAGATTTGGTAGGGTTTTATTCTAATAAAGCGCTTCAGTTTTCAGTACTCTTATGATACAATACTTAACTTTTCAACTAACATAGAAAAAATGTTAAGTCTCAAGATTTTTTCTGATACAGTTTGTATATGGAAATCTATTAAATTTTGCTAATAGTCTGGGGCTGCAAAAGTTGTCTTAGGCTAAACGTTTTAAGCAGTTCAGAGGTTTTTATGTCCTAGTTCTTGAGCTCATTACTTCTAGATTGCTATATATAAAAGCTTTTCTGAAGATGAAAGGTTAACTTTGTACTTTGTGTTTGCGTGGTTTACATTCAGCTTCTTAATAATGATTTATGTGGTATTTATCAAATCCTGTTTCTTCGTCCTGAAACAGAATGATTTCCCCTTGCTTTCTACTTCTTACAGATAATTTTCATAAGAAGATATGGGGTTTTTCATGGTTGGTTTTTTTTTTCCCTATTTCTTTCATTGGTCTGTTTTCATATAGGTCAAGCAAGTGACAAATAAAGCCCACATTTGAGACTGTATTTCAGATTATGGGTGACTTCCCTTGGTTTAAAAAATATTAACGGAAATTGTGAGGTTCAGGACACCTTTCTTTGACCACAAAGAGACCTCTCTTTCCAGCCAGCCACTTTGAAAAGTTAATGTATTTGTCACATGAGGAATTGCACTGCTTATGGATGACTTAACGCAGTTCATCACTACTTCTAGAAAATAACTCAGTAGATGTACAGCTGATGTTTAGAAGCATGTCATCTATTTATAATAGACTACTATGAACTGAAAACATTTAAAACTCATTATCTTGGTAAATAAAAATCAGGAGTATTTTTTTCAATAAAATAAAGCTCAAAAGGTTTCCAGGTCAGTGTATGACTGAGAAGGTCTGGGATCTAAGGAAGGCTCAAGCTCTTTAATCTCCTAACTTCAGGAAGACAGCATGTGGAGCTGTGTAGGGACTGGGGGCCACCACATCACCCACAGATTCTAAACAGTGATGGAAAGTCCCCTAATCACAGCGCCTCTTCTCACTTCTTAAGTGTAATTTACACAGGTAAGTTTTTATTTCTTTATAGATAGAAAAAATGTTGACCAATTAGCCATCTTGATTCAAGATTATGAACCATGATAATTCGTCATAATATAAAATAACCTATAATTTGAGTTCAGTAATTTAAATTAAAATCCGTAATGTCAAAATAATCTTTTTTTTTTTCCCCCTTTCAGTGGTCTGGGGAGAATGTAATCATTCCTTTCACAACTGCTGCATGTCCCTGTGGGTGAAACAGAACAATCGCTGCCCTCTCTGCCAGCAAGATTGGGTGGTCCAAAGAATCGGCAAGTGAGAGTGGTGGAAGTTTCTTAGTGCATTTGTTTGGAGCCCTGGTGGATCTTGTTATCAAGTGCCCTACAAAGGCCAGAACTCTCCAAGGGAACTAATTCTTCAAATAAGAGGAGATGGCTCTGTGGTCTTTTGGTACTCATCAGAGGCATGGTTTAGCATTTTGTTAGTTTTATTTTCAGAAATTCTCTACAATTAAGAAGATAATTTATTAAAGATGGTCTTTCCTACCTCTGTGGTATGTGGTCACACACACTGCTTAGAAGTGCTTTAAAGGAGGAGAGAGCTACAAATTGAATGACTTTATAATTTACTTACTGATATCCAAAGGGCTGTGGAAGCAGTTCCATTCAGAAGAGAACTTGTTGCATGCTTATAGTTGATCAGTAAAAAAAAAAAAAAAAAAAAAAGACTGTTATAGTAACAAATAAAGTGCAGTTTAAAACCCAACTCTTATCCTTATTTTGTTCCTGATATTTATTTTTGGCTGGGAGGGGGTGATTCATGAAATCTTTACTTGATATAATGAAAATTTTAAGTTTGGACCAGTGAACAGGGTAAATAAAATTTAACCTTTGGGCATATGGAATTTCGATTGTCTTTTAGGCTATCATCCTCTGTCTTTGGCTCATCAAGAATACCTAAATCTCCACTCACCTCACTGTTCAATCATTGAGTGGTAAAGAACAGAAGTATTTTTAAGTTCTGGTCAGATTCTGTATTAATTAAACTGTGTTTTAGGTGGAATGTTAATGAGGGGAAAATGTTTACCACTGTAGCATTGGATCAAAAAGTTTATTTTATTACACGATGTTTTAATAAATGGTTTATTCTGTTTACTTCATTTGAATTGTCATTATTACAGTCTTATACACAACCTTAAACTTCATGTTAATAAACTAATATGTCAAGTGAGTGATTTTACTTAATTTGAAAAAAAATTCATATACTCTTATTTGGTAATAATAAAACTTAAAAAGTTTAAAGTTTATTACATGGAAACATTAAGTGTGAGAAAATACTTAAATTTTATCAAACTCATTCACATTTAATGGAGGTTATTTTGTAACAGTTTAGGGACAAGTTTATTTTGAATTTTTCCATAGTAAAGTCCACAGCTATGAATTTTAAAAACTGAAGTCTTAAAAACTTTATCATCCACTTCTGCAGTTTGTCAATCTGAATCTTTTTATATCTAAGGAATGCAGATACTTAAAAGAATGTTAAAAACTAAGAATTCATAGGCTATCATATTGGCTACTATTAAGCTTTATTATGTATTTTTTCACAATTTACTGAAAAAATTACAATGTGAGGGTAAAGCATTTTTATTATATAATATCAAGAGTAATACTATCAACATGATTTATTGAAATTCATGTTGACCTAGATTACTTGGCTGGATTGTCAAGCTTTTTTTATTTTTAAAGATTTTATTTTATTTTTAAGATTTTTTATTTATTTGAAAGAGAGTGCACAGTGGGGAGGGGCAGGGAGGGAGAGAGAGAAGCAGACTCCCTGCTGAGCAGGGAGCCCAAAGTGGGGCTCAATCCCAGGACCCAGAGACTATGACCTGAGTGGAAGTCAGATACTTAACCAATTGAGCCACACAGGCACCCCGATTTTACTTATTTTAGAGAGCACACAAGTAGGGGAGGAGCAGAGGAGAGGGAGATAATCTCCAGCAGACTCCATGCTGAGCACAGAGCGCAGCACTGGGCTCAATCTCAGGATCCTGAGATCATGATGAGCTGAAGCCAAGAGTCAGACACTTACCTGAGACATCTGGGCACCCCAGATGGGCTTCTTTCCTGTAGAGTTACTTTTTCCCTTTTCCATACGGCATTCTTTGGGAGAAAGTCACTAAGTGCAGATAACACTTAGGGAGTGGGAGGTAGGCTTCTACTTTTTGAGGGTAGAGTATTCCATTATTTGGAATTCTTTAGCATTGGATATTTATCTTTTCTCCATTTATATAATCACTTACCTATATCAGTAAATAGTGAAGAGTCCTTTTGGAGAGATTAAAACTTACCAATTCCATGGAAATGAAGGGTTCTTAGATTACTCTGGATAGAACACCATTTTTCTAATGATACCTGTATACAGAATGATAGGGGGATAAAAAAGAAATACAAGGAAAACAGTTTAAGCAACATATTCCTAACACATTTTAGATTAAATCCCAAAGTTTAATCACGCTTTCAACATCTCATTTTGAGGTCTCCAAAAATTCTTAGTATATGCATACCAGAATTTCTTTCCCAACATACTAATATACACAAAATTGAACAGTAGAATCAAGTTCTAGCTGGTTGCTTTTCAAGCTATGATCTTTAATACTTCAGACCTTCCAAACATTTTTGTTTGCCTTAGGTAAACCTAAACAAACATTAAATTGATGCATAACACATCATGTTAATAAAAAAATGGTTTGGGTTTTGATTTTGTTTTGTTTTTGTAGAAAACAGCCATGTGATTAACGTCATATCTTACAGAAAACTGTGACTGAGAGCTATAAGTATATTACTAGCAAAGACTTAAAAAGTTATATGAGTTTCATATGGTAAGTGCTTCATTGAACATCTGTTGAAACCTTAGAATTGAGCAGATTTAAGGGTAAATATGGAGGTAAAGACCTAGAGGAATGACAAAGTGGGAAAATCCCCCTACAGAGATGTAGTTATTTCAAGCCACTATCTCTGCCCCAAACCATATATCACAACACATCCTACATAACCCCTATTTTTTCAGGGATTTTCAACTGAAGAATCAATATAAAGAGAAGAATGAAAATAAAGCAAAAAAAAAATAACATTAATGGGGGCGCCTGGGTGGCTCAGTCGTTAAGTGTCTGCCTTCAGCTCAGGTCATGATCCCAGGGTCCTGGGATCGACCCCCGCATCAGGCTCCCTACTCGGTGGGAAGCTTGCTTCTCTCTCTCCCACTCCCCCTGCTTGTGTTTCCTCTCTCGCTGTCTCTCTCTCTGTCAAATAAATAAAATCTTTTAAAAAAAATGATAGTCAACCTAGAGAAACATAGTATTGCATCATAAAAGATTAGAAAATATTACCTAAAGACATTTAATTTATTGACTGTGAAAGATGGACAAAAAAAATTTTTTTAAGGATTTATAGGAACAAGCTAACCTGACTATGTTAAGCTTTTTTTTTTTTTAAGATTTTTATTTATTTGACAGAGCGAGAGAGCACAAGCAGTAGAGGGAGGGAGAAGCAGGTTCCTCCCAGGACCCTGGGATCATGACCCGAACTGAAGGCAGATGCTTAACCATCTGAGCCACCCAGGCGGCCCTGGATAAAATTTTGTTACGCATGATGTACTGCATTCCTCTTTAGAGTATTTAGAGTAAGTAGCACATAAAATGTTTGCAATATAGTATAGTGTATACAATACATAGAATATAGATTTTATACTTCTAGTACAGATTTGTAATTTTATAGGTAGTAAATTATATGTAGTACAATATATAGTACAGTGTATTATAAATAAAGGTAGATAGATGGATAGATAGTATTGCTTTTTCCTTGCCATAGGACCTGTTGCTTAGAGAAACATTGAAGCTGATCCGTCTATTCTTACCATTTGGTATTGTTTCAAAGATGAATGGCCCCATGGTAACTGTTGAGACATATGCTAAGAAAATAAACACTGAATAAGATGTTACATTGCATCTGAAATGAGGAATACATTTAGAGAGTAAAACGTGAATGTGTTTTTAAAATTGGCATTGTATACTGCTATTTCTTTATCCCCTCTGAGGAAGTCATTAGTCATGCTGTTTCTTCCTAGTAAACTTATATTGACATTGACCATTCTGTTTTAGGCACATGTTCTGTAGATGCAGAGGAAGATTTAGAATGTGTACTAGTCAAGCAGCTGAGAAATTACTCTCTCACAGATGAGTGAGCACCAATACAGATAGCTTAGTGATCAGCCTTATATTTCCATAGTAGTAATTTGCCACGGAGACAGTCCAGCATACTATTTTCCCTGTATCTAGAAAAAAAATAGTAGTTTTTCTTAACAGGATTCATTCTTTTTGCAGTGACTGAAATTAAAAAAAAAAAAAAATCTCCATAAAAGCCAGTTAATACAGTTATAAATATACTGGTTCACAATGGGAAAATAGGATTCCATTTCAAATCCCTCCCCCGCCGAAAAACAAGGCATATTTTGATTCAAATTTGTTGAACTTAGATTTGGCTTACTTCAAGTGTATGTGTGTGTATGGATATGTGAGTGTAATATGACACATGTATATGTCCATTCATTAATGTGCTTTTAACTCACTGTTCTCATTGTCCGGGTATATAAAAGAATCAGAAAAGTAAACTCCTTGAAGGATATTTTTGTTTTATAAGAATATGCTAGAGCTGCAACTAGAAAATGTGTGTACCCTATGCAGCAATCAGAAAACATATCTGTAGACAGGACAGTAATGAGTTTTCGGATAGTGGAGTGACTGAGTAGAAATTGATGAGAAAACCACTGAAACATAATATCTGTTTCTAGAAGAAAAACAATAAATAACATAGGAAGGATGAATGGATGAAAAGCTTGAGGAAAGCCCCTGTAAGCCAAAGAATGGGGAAGAAAGACATCCTTTACCATGTAGTAGACATTGAGAAATCAGATATCTATATTTAATAATTCTTTACAAAAATAATATATGCAGAAATGTGTTCAAACAGTATACCTAATCTAACAAAACTAGTCTGATAGTTACATAGGAGTTGGGCATTTACAGTAAGATCAGTGTTACCATATTTAACAAATAAGTTACTGTTAAGGGAGTAGAAATAATTATGAAGGAGTTTGTGTAGATTATTTTATATTTATATTTAATTCCATTTAGTGTGCATAATTTAGACATCATGCCTCACTTGTAAGTTTTTTAAATGGATTGACTATTTTGCATTTATAACATACTTTTGAATGACAAGTTGTTACTGTCCTTATTTGAAAGTCAAGAGAGCTGAAATGTCAAGAGAACTGACCTCGTAACATTTTAACAGATTCCAACCAAAATCCTTGTTTTGGATTTTTGGGGGCACCTTGTCTCAGCTTTGAGTAGCAGTTGGAAAGAGTGTTGCCCCCATCTTCGTAGTTTATCCAGATTGTTTTTCTTTTTTGTAGATTAATGACAACACCTACAAATAATTTTTTTCAGTTTTTCTTTAAAATTATAGTTAGGCTTTTTAGTTTGGGGTGTGTGTGTGTGTGTCCTTTTTCAAGTTCTGTTATTAAAAATGCTTTTCGGGCACCTGGGTGGCTCAGTTGGTTAAGCGACTGCCTTCGGCTCAGGTCATGATCCTGGAGTCCCGGGATCGAGTCCCGCATCGGGCTCCCTGCTCGGCAGGGAGTCTGCTTCTCCCTCTGACCCTCCCCC